GGACATGTAATGATTCACATGCTGAGCCAAGGTTAAACCTCTGCTGTCTTTTCAGTGAAGAACTGGAATGGTTGAGTTCCAAACAAGAATAAGCAGCTTCATGGATACTCATTAATTGTTGACATTTGGTCCAAGGCCAGATTTAGTAGATTATGCAGTTTGTTTTTATAATGAGAGCTTGACATCAGGCTGGACATCTGCCAGTGTTCAGTTCAGATGATAAGAAAAGAAACGTTTACTAAGAGACAACAGTTATTACAACAGAACTTTATTACACTACCATTCAAAAGTTTTGAAAGAGCTTCTATTCTTACCAAGACTGCATTTATATATTTACAGTAAAAACAGTAATATTATGAAATAGTGTTATAATTACAGTCACATTTTTTCTTAGTAACTGTAACTGATTACAGTTACATTTATTTTGTAATTAAATTACGTAACGCCGTTACATATAACTAGTTACTCCCCAACACTGTATATATATAGCCTAGCTTTATTATGTTTTTATCCGCTGGCAGAAGCGCTGCAGGTGCGTGATGTGTGATATGATATGGCCATGTGAATCCTCATGTTCTGTTGTTTGCGCGCATGTGACGCATGTGAAATTAATCCCCGGGAAACAAATGTTAGTATTTCTTAACGGGTCACAGACACCTAATTTAATTAATTTAATTCAATTCTAATTTAAAATAATCTTGTCGGTTAACGGTGGATCTAATGTGAAAACGTATGTTTGACAGCCTACATCCTTCATAGATGGACGCTGCTGTGATTTAGGTTAAAAATGCATAAATACTCAATACATATCAAACGATCTGTAATAACACAATAGTGAATAGTGACCACATAATAAAAACAGTTACACTTGTGTGGTGCGACATTACTGTGGGACCAATGGCACAGCTAAAAATATGTTCAGCCTCTCTTTCCTAATGTTAGGATCAGAAGGAAGGCAATGCAAAGACTTGGCACTGTACAGTGTCTTGTTGTCTTCGGAGCCATCTTTATCGTTTGATTTCTGCATAGACCTGCGTTCGTCTCTCTCGTTATTTACACTACATGCGCGAATCAGTGGGCGGGGCTAAACAGGCAGTGCTGTAGAAGCAGGCGTTGATCATCTTCTGTGGAGGCAGTGTTTAGCCACACTGTTACGTCATAAAGTACCACATTCCACAACCTGTTGTTTTGGCAGATTGACTTCAATATAAGCTGTTTTCAGACTAACAAGAAAGTCTTGAGTTTGAAACTTACAGGACATTTTTATAGTACAATGAATGACCTCTTATATGTCAAAAGGGGATTTTGATTTCTCAGTTCATGACCCCTTTAAGTCCATCATTTTGGTGTGATTGAGTGGCAGTTTCTCTCTGCAGATGAGGTTGTGGAATGTGATGCATCTGAAATACATAACTGAGTTTAGAGTTACAGTATGTCTATTTGTTTATGTAAAAGCAATTATATTCACGAAGGCCAAAAGTAGCAAAAATGGATAGTTTGTGAGCCCTTCACAATCTTAAAAGTAAAAAGTGATATAAAGTCATGCAACAGCTTTAATGTTTTTTTTTGTGACTGGGTATGTTTATGCATAAACCCAAGTAATAATAAAAACAGTATGTATTATGAATTATTATATATAATTATTATAAATTCAATGTCTCTGTTACTTAGTGGAGAAGAGGAGAGACGTTCCCACAGCTTAACAGAGCTGCTCACACTTGTGACCAAAAAAACTAAGAGAAAAGAACATTTTCAGTTTGGAAACCAGTAAAAAAAAAAAAAAAAACATAATTTAGAAAAATAATAGACAATTTTTTTGTCCTGTTTTACACCCCCCTCATCTGAACTCTCCGTTTGGGTGGGCGTGGCATGCTCTAGACTCGGAAGTAAATGCCTCTGCTATGATTGGCTAACAGTTTTGACATATTAAAGTTTCAATGCCCCCCTCATTACACGTGTGGAATTGTTTTGAAAACTTCTGATGTTGAGAAATGGCAGCCGGTGAATTCATAAATGTTTGAGCCAGTGTTCGCAGAAAACTACGAACCTGCACCTCAGATGCCAAGGACACTACAGCCTGCAGCAGCATGGTAATTAATCATCTTCATTTATATTTATTCTGTATTTGTATTCTGTTTAAATTTGTGAAGTACTGTAGTTATTAGGCAGTGAGGTTGTCATTATATTATTGTAGTGTTTAACTGAAGATGCTGAAAGCTGTTTATGTTATGCAATTTACACACATTATATTTCGCATTATTTATTACATTTCAGTGGTTGTGGCAAATACATTTTAGATACTTGGAGTTACTACAGTTATAGTTGACAGGATAAAATACGCAGTTTTGTTTAAACACTCATGTAAACGAGGTAAAATTCTGCATGTCTGTTTATAGATGGACGCTGCTGTGATTTAAAAACGTATAAATAGTCAATACATATCAAACTATCTGTAACAGACAAAGCAATAGTGACGCAGGATAAAAACACTGTTACTCACATTTATGTGTTGCAACATTACTGTCGGATCCATAGTCGGAACAGCCTATGTCGAATTGTTTAAAAATGAATCTGCAGTAAAATGAACCGAACAAACGACCAGGTTCTAACTGACCCAATCTAGAACTTTATTAAAAATATGTTCAGCCTCTCTTTCCTAATGTTAGGATCAGAAGGAAGGCAATGCAAAGACTTGGCACTGTACAGTGTCTTGTTGTCTTCGGAGCCATCTTTATCGTTTGATTTCTGCATAGACCTGCGTTCGTCTCTCTCGTTATTTACACTACATGCGCGAATCAGTGGGCGGGGCTAAACAGGCAGTGCTGTAGAAGCAGGCGTTGATCATCTTCTGTGGAGGCAGTGTTTAGCCACACTGTTACGTCATAAAGTACCACATTCCACAACCTGTTGTTTTGGCAGATTGACTTCAATATAAGCTGTTTTCAGACTAACAAGAAAGTCTTGAGTTTGAAACTTACAGGACATTTTTATAGTACAATGACCTCTTATATGTCAAAAGGGGATTTTGATTTCTCAGTTCATGACCCCTTTAAGTCCATCATTTTGGTGTGATTGAGTGGCAGTTTCTCTCTGCAGATGAGGTTGTGGAATGTGATGCATCTGAAATACATAACTGAGTTTAGAGTTACAGTATGTCTATTTGTTTATGTAAAAGCAATTATATTCACGAAGGCCAAAAGTAGCAAAAATGGATAGTTTGTGAGCCCTTCACAATCTTAAAAGTAAAAAGTGATATAAAGTCATGCAACAGCTTTAATGTTTTTTTTTGTGACTGGGTATGTTTATGCATAAACCCAAGTAATAATAAAAACAGTATGTATTATGAATTATTATATATAATTATTATAAATTCAATGTCTCTGTTACTTAGTGGAGAAGAGGAGAGACGTTCCCACAGCTTAACAGAGCTGCTCACACTTGTGACCAAAAAAACTAAGAGAAAAGAACATTTTCAGTTTGGAAACCAGTTACAATTTTAAAGTTAAATTTGTATTTAAATTTAAGAAAGAAATAATTTACCTGGTGAGAGTGTGTTGACAGTCAGTGTAGTTGGATCACTGATCTCCAGAAAATCAGTAATGAGCTGTTTTGACAGTTGCAGATAAAAAAAAACAAAAAAAAACAAAGGGCGGGAATAAAGAGCCCTAAACTTTAACACAAATAACCATTTTAGCATGAAATAGAACCGTTACTACATGTAAAGAACTTTTAAAGAACCATCTTTTTTTAGAGTGTACAACATGGAATCAAAATGGACACTTTTTGATTTTTTTTAATACATCCTGGTCTTATTCAGCAATTAATCAGTGCATGTTATTCCTGTTTTGATCAACATCTAATAACTTGAATAGATATCTAATAAACATCTACTAAATAACTGCATTCAGATATTTAATGTTCACCGTTCCCGATCCAAACAATTCCTGATGGACAAACGCCCACCCTACATAATTTTTGAGGTAAATAATGTCACATTACTAAAGTAAAAGGGATTGCAAATGCAGTTTCATGTTGACTTTTAGTGGTAAAATACAGGCCAAGCAATTTGGACATGTAATGATTCACATGCTGAGCCAAGGTTAAACCTCTGCTGTCTTTTCAGTGAAGAACTGGAATGGTTGAGTTCCAAACAAGAATAAGCAGCTTCATGGATACTCATTAATTGTTGACATTTGGTCCAAGGCCAGATTTAGTAGATTATGCAGTTTGTTTTTATAATGAGAGCTTGACATCAGGCTGGACATCTGCCAGTGTTCAGTTCAGATGATAAGAAAAGAAACGTTTACTAAGAGACAACAGTTATTACAACAGAACTTTATTACACTACCATTCAAAAGTTTTGAAAGAGCTTCTATTCTTACCAAGACTGCATTTATATATTTACAGTAAAAACAGTAATATTATGAAATAGTGTTATAATTACAGTAACTGTTTTAACTATATTAAAATGTACTATTTTAATATAGAGTTTAAAATGTAATTTATTGGCAAAGCTGAATTTTCAGCAGTCATTACTCCAGTCTTCAGTGTCACATGATCCTCGGAAATCATTCTAATATGCTGATTTGGTGCTCAAGAAACATTTCTTAATATTATCTCATTTGAAAATGGTTGTACTGCTTAATATTTTTTTAAAAACTGCGATACATTTTTTTTCTTACTGATATCTTACTGGTAGTGCATATGTTGACATTGTAATGTTAATTTCAGCTCATACACATGATTTATTTTTCTCATCTAGTTCTTGATTTATTATATTATCATATAAATTAACAATCTCTGCATTACAAGTAAAAGGCAGATGCTTCTCTCTAAAAGAAACACTCTGAAATTCCTAATATAAATTCCAATAATTCCAAATAATGTTAGAGTAACCTCAATCACAAACAATATAGCGAGATCCGTTTTTGCATTTCTTACAGTTCATCACTGAACTATTTCCTCCCTCACTTCCTTATTCTCTCGGTCTCTCTTTTTAGATATTTCCAGTGCCCGCCTAAGTTTGGCCTCTTTGCTCCAATTCACAAGGTGATCCGCATTGGCTTCCCATCCACCAGTCCAGCTAAAGCTAAGAAGAGCAAGCGTATGGCAATGGGTGTGTCATCTCTGGCTCACAGCCCCTCCAGCTCCTCCATCAGCTCTGTCAGCTCTGTGGCCTCCAGCGTGGGGGGGCGACCCAGTCGCACTGGCCTGGTATGAGATGTTAAAATGCCAAGAAAGAAAGTGCCAATGCAAATCATATCTTATGTTGACATTTTGCAACGTTGCTTCCTGATGTGACTGTTAAAGGGGCCATAATGTGTTTTATCACTTTATTTTTTCCCCTGGTGTAGAATAATGCAATTTTTTTCTCCTGACAAGAGCCATTTAACAATTTAATGTGTAATCATTGTGCGGATTTGAATTCAGTAGTCTCATTTCATTTCACTGATTCTGGCAGCTGACGGAGACGTCGTCGAGGTATGCGCGGAAGATCTCGGGGACCACAGCTCTGCAGGAAGCCCTGAAGGAGAAACAGCAGCACATAGAGCAGCTCCTGGCCGAGAGAGACCTGGAGCGGGCCGAGTTCGCCAAGGCAACCAGCCATATCTGCGAAGTGGAAAAAGAGCTGACGGCACTGAAGGCCCGACATCTGCAGGTGTGACTCACACATATAAACACAACACTAACTGTATATGTGCATTCCATTTTCTACATTTACTCACAAATACAAACTTACACACTCCATTTAACACCACATTCAGATTAATTTATGTACAACAATGACCTTTTCTCATTATCTCATTCAGTATGCAACAGAGGCAGAGAGCAACCTACAGCAAGTCCGAGCCCTGCTGGCAAGCACACAGAAAGACAAAATGGAACTGGCCAATCAGCTTGAAGAAGAGAGAAGGTACATATGAAAAAGTAATGAAAAAGTTTTAACGCATAAATAAAGTGCTTATAGAAAAGCAGGGGAGAGTGGGGCCATAGAGTGATCCAGTGACGGGTACCTATTTTATTTTTTAAAATAAATTATTAATAAAAAAGAAAATCCTAATGGACAATCACAGAAAAAGGTCATTCATTGTCATTGTCAGTGTTACAGCCAGGGAAAGGTGAAATAGTGGTTGGTTTTCATAATATTTCACGCACTCACCACACAGTTTTTGGGAAAAATTCTAATCTAAAGATTGGCCATAAATTATGTTCATGATTTTATAATTTGGTAATTTACCTGCCATGTAGAAAGTTTATTTTGATGTGTTGTAGCACAAAAAATGCTCACTTTTCTCTTAATCACAGCCAGCAGTATATGATGAGATATATAATTGTGTATCATTTGCTAGATTAACAGGGACAGTTTATCCACTGAAAAAAACAAAAAAAAAAACAAAAACAAAAAAAAAAAAATATATATATATATACACACTGTCATTGTTGACAAATACCTGGAAATAGTGTGTTTCTACAATTATATTTGGTAATTCAACACTTCTGTTTTTGTGTGATCCTGCATTCATGTCAATAGGCCTCAGTATAAAGTCCAAAACTGCTGTAGTATCTACCAAAGAAACAAACAAAAAAAGTAAATGAGGAATTCCCTGACACCTGGTGGTCATTATGTGTTACGGCAGGAAGGTGGAAGATCTTCAGTTCAGAGTTGAGGAAGAGTCCATTACCAAAGGAGACCTGGAGGTATCTGCTTTTTTTTTTTACTACTTTACTACATTTTTACTATTTTACTGGGAGATAAGGTGTACTTTTTTCAATGTTGAGGATTGCTATGAAGATAACAGAAGAAAATTGATACCATCAATGAATGATAGTATTGGTTCATTTAGAATGTCTTTCCAAACATCTTCAGTCCACCAAAAAAAAAAAAGTGTTATGAATATTAGACATGATCTATAACCTTATGACATTCCTACATACAGTATACGCTGTACTTAAACAGCCTAATTTTCATTTGCAAAAAATTAAATATAATATCTACTCTGACTAAGATCTGTTTAAATGTATGTAAATGTATCAATATGTCTCCGTTTATCCAGCCCTATACTGTCATGCTGAATGTGAGAACATACTCTGTCCTGCCTTTAAACGTCTTCACACTTTGGTATTATGATTGGTGAATAGCTAAGACCTGTTAATCTTTTTCTGTGCTACCTATGTATGTCTCTTTTTCTCTTTTTCTCGTGTCTTTCCATTTCCCCCCTTTCTTTCTATCTGTAGACTCAGACCAAACTGGAGCATGCCCGTATTCGGCAACTCGAGCAGTGTCTGCATTTGGAAAAGTCCAAAGCAGAGCGGCTTCAGAAAGAGTTAGAGGAAAAGATGGTAAACATGCAGGGAGATGAAACACCCCAGCCTGTAGCCATCTCTCCCATTGCCATGTTTCTGTCCCTTTGTTAGAGCCCGTGTCTATGGGTCTCCAATGCTTGCGCTTGATTGGCCAGGCCTGGGATCTCCATCATTCACCTAAAGCTCCCATATATACTCATTTGATCTGAAGTGTTTGTAATTTGTGCAACTGATTAGATATGTTTAATGCCACTCATTTTTTAAACTAGGGTAGTTGATCAAAAAAGATCAGATATTTCAGATTTATTTCAATTTCACCCATTTTTTGCATTTACAATGTTGATTTAATTGGAATTTACTCCAGCTCTGATCAGTAATTGCATTGCTGTGAAACCCCAAAGTCACGTGTGTTGGAGATCTTTGCCTGTCTCTGTGGGGCAGCATTGCTCCTGTTAGCCAGGAATTGCTTTCACCTTTCATTTGCAAAATATTTTTTCATGTCCGTCTTCTCTTGTTCTCTAAGCATCTGCCTGAGACCCTCAGGTTGGAGTTGAGGAGTTATCTTCTCGGCAGTGATCTCATTTCCCCACATTAGCCTTCATATTATGTTTTAGATGCTGAAATACAGCCTCCAACCTTTGAAAGGGTTGCGAAACAAACCCCCTCTGACACATCTACACTGTATTTCTAGCCCTTATTTTTCTATAATTAGAGGTAGTTGCTAAGGCATCACAGTTATTATTGGTCAGGCATATTCCTCTTCTGCACTTAAATCATCCTGTACATTTTGTGCAACACCTTTATCTTGTGTTCTATCTCATCACATATCTGGTCTTCGAGACATGTGGGTGGACTACAGCCACTGTAGCAACACCCCGTTGACTACCCATAACACCCTAGTAATAGACTAGTGACCACCCAGAATATTTTTGCAACCTCCTAGCTGCATCTAGGCAAGCATGCAGAACACCCTTGAAAACACCCAGAAAAACTGTCTATCAATATCTAGTAATCACCCAGAACACCCTAACAGCACTACCCAGAAAACTCTAAGCACCCTAATGGTGTCATAGAAAATGCCCAGAATGCCTTCACAACTGTCTTGCAATTCACTAGCTTCCAAACAAACAAACAAAAAAAAAACACTAGCAATCACCTAGCCAGTGTCTAGTGACTATCAGAAAACCCCAGCACCACCCTAGTGACCACCACAGACACCCTAAAAGCAACCTAGTGACCACCCAGAACACTATAAATATGACTTAAATGACTTTAAAAAAAAAACACCCAGAACACCATCAAAACTGTCTTGAACACATTAGCTTCCAACCACAAAACCCTGAAAAGCAATGCCTAGTGACTACCCAGAAAACCCAAGCACTGCCCTAGTGTCCACCAAGAAGACCCTAGCAGCTGCCTCAGCAACTCCTTAGTGGCCATCCAGAACACCCTAACAACTGCCAATCAATGGCCCAATGATCCCTCTAAATACCTAGTAATCTGGCAACCACCCAGATTACCCTAGCAACACCCTAGCTACCAACCAGAACATCCTAAACACCCTAGTAACTAACAATGCCTTTGCATACAACCAGAACACCTTAGCAAATGCCTACCAATGCTCTAGCGACCAAAACCCTAGTAACCACCATGAACAACCTAGCAAGTGCCTAGCAATGTCCTAGCAACCAACTAGCAACGCTCTGGCAACCACCAACAAAATTCTAGCATTGTGGTTTTGCGTAAACAATCAAAACTCAGGCCCTGAACTTGTCCACTTTCGACCACTTCCAGAGTGAGTTGAAAACTCATTCAAACGGATTGCTTTCATAGTGTAGACGCGCATGTGGTTGAATGAGTTTGAACAGCCACTAAAGACCACCTCCTATAATTCATAAACATTATGGGACGTGATGTTGAAACGCGTTAGCCAGACAATGCTGCCATCTGAAATCGTAAGTTTGGTATGAAGGCGAAAAATATCAATGTTGTCTTACCAGTCCTGATTGTAACACACACCCACAGCGTTTGGTGTAGTTTTGCAGCCATTAGAGCAAAAATTAAAGCTGCTGCTCTCCGGAATCGTTTTCTGTGTCTCCCTTTGCATTCATAATTAAAATGTGCGAGCTTATTTTGCAATATTAGATCGAAAGATCAGGAATAAGCCCATACTTACACCCGCCCATAGACTCTCCCCTAATCAGGAAAATGGTTGAAAGTGGACAAGAGAGACAGATTAAAAGATCAGGTGTAAGCGGGAATGTGTCTTCCTTGTCTGCTTGTGATCTGATCGATCAAAGCACATCTTAATACCAGACATAAACAGGGCCTCACATTTCTTGAGTAAATGTAAAAGTGTAGTTTTGGCTGTCATTGTGGATGAAGGCAGCACAGTTCGGGTACTCTAATCAACAGGATTTCACATTTATCAACAGGCCAGAGGCAGGCTCCAGCCAACACCCATGAGGCTGGGCAAGAGTGTCAAGGTGATATAAAGGGAGTAACGCACTGTGTGGTTTTCAGAGTGATCTTCTATATTAAATGTGAATATTTTATGTAGATCTGTGCTTTTCTCACTTCTCTCTTGAGGTTTGAGACTGCATCTGTGAACTCTTGTAGTATTATCTGATCTATGATAACCTCTAATGATATTTTCTTTGAACTATCACATTTTCAGATGACTCCAGAATGACTAACATTAATATTTGGTTGTTCTGTGGAATGAAAAACATCTTTGAATATTTTTTCTTTAAACATAATTTGAATGTGTTCCTTTGGACTTGCTGTGTGCCGTTCCATCTCATATTTGCCTGGCTGCTTCTAGATGGACAGACTGAGAAAGGCTTGCTTGGGCTTGAATTCAACAGGAATGCTGGTGTAGTTTCATAGGTTGCACTATATTCGCTTTTTTTTTTTTTGCACATGCAAGAAGCATTCGCTGAAATGTTTGCAGGGCAAGCAAATGCTTTGTTTGCCTCTAATGCCTGTATTGCCATCCGGTTGCTAGTTTTTGAGGGCAACTCTCCAAGGTATTTCATACTGATTATCAACAACATTAAAATGTTTATTTGGGGGATGCAAATACTCATCATTTGTTTATTTGGGGAATACAAAAAAAATACTCACTTTGGAGAATAGATGGACTATTATTATTAATATAAACAGCCATTTTCTCTAGTGTACTGTAATTTGAAAAATCTCATTATAATAATGCAAAAATAATATAATTGAATAAAGTTAATAAAGTTAATTTATATACATATATATATATACACACACACACACACACACACATATATATATATATATATATAAATCATTATTATTATTATTCAGTAACTCAGAAATATCATTACTATAATGCAAAAATAATAGAATTGTATTGATTATTTAAATTGTACAAAAAATTTATATTGTAAAATTGAAACCATTAATTACAAAATATACATATTACAAAATTAATTGTACAAAATTCATTTGTAAAGTTCATCTGTAACTGCATCATGGAAGTATTTTATATTTTAATGGAAAAAAAGTGTCAGTACAGGATTACTTAGAGAATTTCTTTCTTTCTTTCTTTTTACATGACAATTGTGTATTGTTGAGTTGTGTTTAAGTGTCATGAAAATAATGTCACATAAAATTTTAATGGTCCTAAAATGGTAATTTCTGAATTGTTTTAGGACCTCGTCCTCTACAGATTTACTCAATATTGGCCGTAACCATTATGGTTTATTGTGCATCCCTAGTTTTTGTCATTTAATAATGAGATTTTTCCAATAGATGTATTGACAAACACTCTTAAAGTTTGCTTTATTTTGAATCTCTAATTAAATCCTAAGATTGAGGTCAAAGGTCTTGTCGGAAAAATGACTAAATTCCTTTGAGAGTTGCCCCTAAGCAGAATGACTGCAGGTTTTGGCATATAAAAGACCCTTCTGACCCTTTTTCTGTCCTCTAGCAAACTACAGTTGAGGAGAAGAGTCGTGTTATGCAGCTGGAAGAGGAATTGGCGTTGCGCAAGGCTGAGGTTGAGGAGCTCCAGGCTCGGCTTCAGAGAGGCTCCTCCGGTCCAGGCACAGACGCTGGAGACAGCAAACCAGGCATAAGCTCAGAGACTCTAGTTTTGCGAGAACAGCTTCTCTCTGCAGGTCGTGAACGCCGTGAAGAGAGCAACCAGCTGCGCGAGAGGTACGAAGCATCTTTGAGCAGCAGCCAAAAAGAAGTTGAACACCTTAAAGCCACCACAGAACGTCAGGGCCAAGAGATCTCCGACCTGAAGCAAAGACTTCAGCAAGCCACTCGTGAAAACATGGAGATGATGGACAGCTGGAAAGCCAAACTTGACACTTTGGTCGGAGACCATAAACGAGCTCTAGAGGAACTAAAAGCCTCGCTAACAGGAGATCGTGAGACCAGTGGAGCAGAGGGGGAAGGAACCAGACCTGAGATGAGAGTAGCTCTAGAGAGCTTAAAGATGGAGCAGCAATTGGAATTAGTGAACCTGAAGGCCAAACATGAGATCGATGCTGCCGTGATGGCCAAAGAGCGTGAAGATCTACGTGCCCGACTTCAGGAATTGCGGGACCAGCTAGAGGAGAGTGAGGAGAACTGGAAGATCCAGGTGGAAGCCAAGAGCAACCAGCATTCTCTGGAGCTCAAAGAGGTCTCAGAGAAGCTTCAAAAGGCAGAGCTGAGGATCTGTGAGTTGGATAAGTCCCATGAAGAGCAGGAAAAGGCCACCCAACTTCTCAAAGAGCAGCTAGAGCTGGCTGAGAAGAAGATGGTCGATTATGAGGCCCTGCAGAAGGCTGAAGCTCAGAGCCGAGCAGAGATCCTCTCTCTGCAGGAGAAGCTGAGAGTCAGCGAGAACCGACTCCAAGCTGTAAAGGCGGATCACACCACCCAGGATGTTAATGTCAGTGACCTCTGGGACAAAACCCTATTTATTTCAATGATTCTTCTCTTTACAAATGTGCTGATTTTTTTTATTTTTTAGATTAGTCAGAAATTCCAATGCGTACAGGGCTAAAATTTGATTGTATATATTTGGAACCACTCCTAAAGAATCCTAAAGGATCCTACTGGATAAACTGAAATCCTGAAAAAATATGAAGTTTTTATTTATCGAGTAGGAGGATCTTATTTGATGCTTAGATTATCAATATGGGATCCCATTGAAATCATATGGTATTAGCTCCAAATTCTAACAGAAATTCTAAAACCTTTTGGATTGTTGACTGGAGTAAAAAAAAAACTCAAAAAAAGGTTGTTTTTTTTAAAGTTCACTTAAATATAATGTTTTCTGCCCATCCAGATGATCGAAAATAATGACAACTCTGAAGAGAAGATTAAACTAAAACAGAATATGGAAGGTATGTGTCCAAATACTGACAATGAAAAATTATTACTGTAACTGATGCACTGGTCAGAAGTTTGGGGTTTGTACGATTTTTTGTGTTTTTGAAAGAAGCCTCTAATGCTCACAAAGACTGATGAGCGTAAGTACAGTAAAACAGTAATATTGTGAAATATTATTACAAATCAAAATAACTGTTTTCTGTTTCGGTATCATTTAAATTGTAATCTATTCCTGCTGAATTTTCAGCAGCCATTACTCCAGTCTTCTGTGTCACGTGATCTTTCAGAAATCATCAGAAACATTTTCTATTATTGTCACAGTTGAAAACAGTTCAGTTAAATGTAGATTAATATTTTTGTGAAGACTGATCTGTTGTTTTCTCATGATTCGTTGATGAATAAAACATTCAAAAGAACATAATTTATTTGAAATAGATATCTTTAATAATATACGTCTTTACTGTCACTTTTGATTACTTCAATGCAATATATAT